AGTCCATCACTTTCTGGGAATGAAGATTTTTAAATCAGAAAAAGAGATGTTCTTATCTCAAGAAAGGTATGCTCAAGATCTCTTATCTAAAGCTTCCATGTTTAATGCAAAAGGAACTAGCACTCTTATGTCAACAAGTGTTCTTTTGAGAAGAAATGAGTCTGAAAACTCTCAAGATGCTACCATGTATAGAAGCATAGTTGGTGGACTGCAATATCTAACTATCACTCATCCAGAGATTGCTTTTGCTGTTAATAAAGTTAGTCAGTATATGTCAAATCCAAATGATACTCATTGGAAGGCCATCAAAAGAATTTTGAAATATGTTGCAGCAGCTTCTTCTTTTGGGCTTAAACTCACGAAGACTAATGACTTAAACATAGTTGGTTTTTGTGATTCTGATTGGGCTGCTGACTTAGATGATAGAAGATCTACAAGTGGTTTTTGTGTCTATGTTGGTGGCAATTTGGTTTCTTGGAGTTCCAGAAAATAGGCTTCTGTTTCAAGATCAAGTGCTGAAGCAGAATACAAGAGTTTAGCTCATTTAACCTCTGAAATTATGTGGATGTCAAGTCTATTTCAAGAACTCACTGTCACTTCTCAAGAGACTCCAATTATTTGGATAGACAATCTCAGTGCCATTACAATGGCAGCAAATCCTGTCATGCATGGAAGAACAAAGCACGTAGAGTTAGATTACCATTTTGTCAGAGAGAAAGTAGGAACCAAGCAGATTGAAGTCAAACATGTTCCTACTCAGTTTCAGATAGCAGATATATTTACTAAGCCTCTATGTGAACAAACCTTAACTAGGTTGAGAAATAAACTGTGTGTGATGACTCAACCAAGTTCGGATTGCGGGGGAGTGTTAGAATTATCATCAAATCATCCTCATCAGTCCAAGGCTTCTTCATTATCTCGGTCAAATCAGTCAAAGAAGCAAGAAAATATTATGCATGAATTAAATGCTGTTGCACTGAAGAAGCAGTTCACGAGCTGTGCATGTGAAGGCACTTTTGTCACGTTGCATGACTCACCAACTAAAGCAACAATTGACAGCTATGGATTGGCCACATTTCTACACCCTTAGATGAGCATCTTCCTATCTTGGCTCTCTCATTAAGATTGAAACACATGTCCATATTCTAGAGGATTCTCTTGTATTTAAATATCCCTCAGTTGCTAGGGTTTAAGGATAACAAACACATTTTGTATATGCTGCGGCTAATGAAACCTTGAGATGAAGCTTACTGCTTTCTCGTTCAGTTTTCTTTATTTGCTCACCATGATTTTTCACAAGAAATAAAGAAGATTGTTGAGAGATGAATCTAGTTTCAGAGCTTTTAGGAATCTTGTGAGGTCTGATGGTTCTGAATGTTCAACTAATCAGGAAAAATTAGAGGAAATCACTGCTCATTTTAAAAATCTCTTCAAAACATCTAACCCACTGGTGGAAAGATGTAATAGAATCTTAACCAGAGAAGTTGGGGATTTGGAAATCAAAGAGGCTAGGTTCAGTTTGGGGAAAGACAAAGCTCTGGGTAGTGATGGCTTGACTGTTCTTTCCAGGTAAGTTCTACGAGGACAAGGATTGCTAGTTTTCCAATAAAGATTGAAAAATTAATTATCGGTCATGATAGTTGGATTCATTTCATTGTTTATTATTGCTTTTAATTATGCATATATTTAATTGATATATTGCTTATGTGCAAGAAAATTTATAGGAACATGCTTAAGAAAATCCATTTGTTTCAAATATTAGGTGTTAATGGAGTTATTTAAATTCCACTGCCTTCATTAGTAAATTACGTATCGCACTGCAAGAAAATGATGATATTTCAACGAAAATATATTCCAATAGAATTCCAACGGCAATTCCAACGAATATTTCAATATTATTATTTCCGTTGGAACAATTTCAACGGAAAATCTAACAAAAATATTCCGTTGGAATGTGTTTTCCATTGGATTTTGACGATTCCAATGGTAGATTTTCCAACGGTGGTGAAAATAAAAATTCCAACGGAAATTGCAGGCTAAATTTCATTTTTAGTCCACTATGTTGATCATTTTTCGAAGAAGGTCCATCATATAGGGTGTCATCAATAATTGTCCACTATATTGTCACTTTTAATCAAAACTCGTACAAATGCCAACATAGTGGACTAAAAGTGATTAAAACTTTTAATCACTTTTAGTCCACTATGTTGGCATTTGTACGAGTTTTGATTAAAAGTGACAATATCCGTTGGAATTTTCATTAGAATATATTACTGTAGGATTTTTCGTTTGGATTATAACAATTGTTTTGTAGTCTCGAATGAATGCATTAGAGGCAATAATTTGGAATTTTGGACCCAAGTATTATCCTTTTATCATTCACTCAACGTGGATATATATTCCATTCATTAAATAATATTTGTTAAAACAAATATTTTTATTGAATAAATATATATGATAGAGACGAGACTTGTTAGAATTCGCGACTAAATCTTTCTCAATCGGGAAAGGATGATGGAGACGAGACCGCGATCGCATTTTCTCAACGGATATGATCGACTCCGCATTTGATTTCATTGGTATTCGTCTTCCTTTTATTTATTTCCTAGTTATTTTTCTATTAGTTATTTTTCTATTCGGAACAAATAAATCCTACAAGATACTTGTAGGAGTAGTTCTCTTCTTTATTTTATCTGGGAAATGTAACGGACGATAACAACTTTTGATTAAAAATTTATTTGATTCAATGAAATATGTCGAGAGAGTATCTCATTCTTTTTCCGTCCTTACCACATTCTACATCAGTTGGTATCCAGAGA